GCGGCAGGGCTGGGCGGGCACGGCTTTATTTACCGGCGCGACCCGGGCACGGCGGGGCGGCTCCGCCCTCGTAGCTGCTCCAGGAGAGCCCCTTAGGTCTCACGGCGGCCCACCCGCCGCCCCTCAGCCTCCCGATCCAGCCGCCCGCGCGCCAGCGGGAGAAGGAAGGGCGCGTCAGGGAAAAGCCGGGAGAGCGGGATTTTTCTGAACCCGAAAATTCTCAGTGTTGCTACCAGAGATTAAATTAGTCGACGCAGGACATAAAGAGAACATGCTCCTGTAATTAAACTTTGACAAATCAGGGTAGGTCGCTGCTCTGAAACAGTAATTGCGTCTTATTTTCTTCAAGCATTAGGCAGAGTAGTCACTATTAAAGAGTACTTTTAGTGAAGGTTTAAGTATTCCTGTCTGCTTTTGGAATTCGCTGTGAAGAGATGTTACCTATCACTTATCAGAGCGGATAGCCAGAGTTAACCTGGATCCACCCACGGTCTGGAACCAGACATGGCCTCCGAGAGCCTCCCCCTGCTCCTGGAGAAACGCCCTTTTCTCCATCCCTCCGTAACGAGCTCTGCTAAAGCAGAACTTGCCTTCGCAAGCACGTCAACTGATAAAGCTTCCGTTCAAAAAGCAAAACCATACAGACCCTCTACAGTCATAAGTCCCATTCATGAGCTTTCTGAGATCACTTTAGAGATATCCATCCATCTGTCAGAATTCATCCCTGAGGCAAAGAAAAACCAACAGTTACTATTCGTGGCCTTCAGTTCAGCGACAGAATCAACACGGCTACCGTGTTTATGAAAGTGCACAGGCTCCAAAAAAAGAAAAGCTCGAGTCCTCAGTCTGCAAGCCCTATCTAACAGAAAATACATCCTGCTCTCCCGCTGTGCCTTACCACAGCCAAGCCTTTCTACTTTTTTTTTTTTTTTTAAACTAACAGCATCTGCTAGGAATCCAGGACTCTGTCAGTAAAGCCAGCAGTCAAGGAGAGCAAGCTCACAGGGACAGCTGTGAGGAAGAAACGTTCCTCAAGGGAGAGCAAATTTTTACCGAGGCCACTGCTTTTCCTTATCTGTCAGAGGAACGTAGATCACGCCCATCAGTTGCGTTTCGATGATCTGCCCGTCGCTGGTTTTGTCGTACTGCATCAGAACTTGGTTTGCGCCTTCGGGACCAACAGGCAGTATTAACCGACCTCCTGGCTTCAATTCGTTCAGCAACTGGCAAGCAGAGAAACCAGAATCGGCAGAGCCAAAAAAAAAAGAGACAACGGAAATAAGCCATGCTGTGAAGGTCACGACACCTTGAAAAGCACAAGCTTGCCAGCCCCATATAAAACAGACAGAAAAAGAAGCTTCCAGTCGTTCCCTAATTATTAGTTTTTTCACAGCTACTGAGGCAGGCAGCCCACAGCAACAGGCATCCAGCACGATCACTCTTACCTCCTTCGGTACAGTTGCTGCTGCCGCTCCAACATGAATGGCATCATAAGGAGCCTCTTCGGGGTATCCCTGCCTGCCGTCTCCAACTACAGGAGGAAAAAGCACGCAGAAGAGACTTTTGTTCCAATAACAACTCCACGCAAAAGTAATTCTTCCTATATCCTTTCAATTGAAATCTAGGTGATGAAAACTTCATAACGAGATTGTGATGGCAATTTGAATTCCCAAATCAGAGCACTGACTGCTCAAAATGTAGCATTGGTTTATGTTTTAAAAAGGGGGAGAGACTTCTGGAAGAAGGAACAAAGCCAGGAGGGCCTTTCAATAACACGGTGGCTTTGTGCAGACTCGAGATTCCAGATACAGAAAGAGCTGACTCAAGTTAACCTCCCAAAAAACCACAACACTGTGTGCAGACCCAGTCAAATAAATTAAAACCCAGATGTGGCATGACCACTCTCCTCTGAAGAGCATCTCTTACTGAGTTAAGATAGTCACTGCACCCTTGGAAGTAAGGTGCATGGTAAGACCGCCTGTAGCGCTAAATACTACTTGTTTACGCGGTAGCGTTCAGGTCAGTGTGGCACAGTGCTTACTTAGCCAGTGGTTTCTGGCAACACCGTGGCAGGCATCAACACAAACTGGAACAACTGCTTCGCGAAGCAGAGCTCTGCAGGCAGCCAGAGCTAACGCTTTCACAGGAGAGAACAAGCATCAGGATCCCAGAGAGCTCACCCACAAGCTTTACACGGCCAGAGCTGAGCAAAGTTGGATCATCTTCCTGGACGTTTCTGATGGATTCATGTACCAGCTCTTTAATGTGCTCTACGCCCACAGCTTTCCCTGTTGGGCCCGTCTAAAAAGAAAACCAGCAGACAAGCACCTGTATACCTCCTATATGGTACAGAGATGTATTTATAGGGCAAGTTACTGTGGGGATTGGAGAATTCCCGGGAAGAAACTTAAGAGGAGAGTTTCTGAACAGGAGGTGCAACTACTCTGCCCCCTTGGTTTTAAGGCTGAGTCGTCCCAGTTACATTAGCTATTTGATGGATACACAGACACTGCCTACGGGGATTCCTAGTACTCCTTCGTTTCCAAAGAAATAATTGTATTTGGTAGAATTAGCAGCTTCCTTGGCAGGGCCAGTTCCTGACTAACTAACCTCCTGAGAAGAGTAACTTGACCAGCTTTCTAGCACTTCACAGAAAATAGTTTTAGGAGTTTAGAAAACAAAGAAACAGACTGTGACTGCTGAAGAAGCAAACTAAAAAGAACCTACAATGGACTCGCACAGTAGAATAACACGCTCCTCTCGATCTGAACTGGGTTAACACACAAAACATCTCATGGCAGATACAGCATCCATTTAGATTCCAAAAATTACTGTATTTCTTTTTACTACAAGCTGGTCTGGGAAGAGTTTAGCCCTTTCCCCCACTCCCTTCCCTCCCCCCAAGAACCACACGCCAGCTACGGCAAGCTACCCATCCTGATGCACCTCACTAGCCAGAAACGGAGTCCTGTGAGCTTACCATCCTGGCAAAGCAAGCTGTAAGATACCCACTTCCAGATCCAACATCCAGCGCTTTTGCCCCTTCCACAAGCTGATCCTTCAGCAATTCCAGCGCATGGGCATGCTGTGTGGACAACAAGTACAAGAAGGCGTGAAACATCCCGGTTTAGTTTCCTCTCCTAAAACTTTTTCTTGTTCGAAGCGTTATCTGCTCCGATCTAGACACAGCGCGCCTGGCATTTTGTCTGACGCATTCAGAGTGAAATTCAAGTGTTTGACCTGGAAGATCTTTTTGCAGAACAGCATTTAGGAAGAGGTTCAGTAATAAGACGCGAAGCGGCAGGAAAAAAGGTCCATTTTTTGCATGGGACAACATTAATGGCCAGCCTCGGTTGCACAGAATTCCTATCTAAGCGTGCTTTTAAAGCAACTTAAGTTTGCCCTGTACTCTTTAAAAAGGAAAAAAGCTTCACATATACAGTGCCTAAAGAAACAAGCTTGATAATCATGTCCATGGCATCTGTTTCACCTTTCTACTTTAGCATTTAAGAAAAAATAAAATAAAAAATGGCAAACAAACAATTTCCTCCATTTTGGTTAAAAGTGAGAAGTTTCATCTTACCATATGCGGTGCACTGATTGTAGCCTTGTATCCTAAAAGGAAACAAGTGACAAGAGTTGTGCCATAAAGGGACTACAATTAAAATTACCAACGCAAACAGTTCTGTATTCTCCCCCACTTCCCCCTAAAAATATGAAAATGCTCTTCTCTTTTGCCGCACTAAAGCACTTCATTGGCTTAAAAGTCTCCTCCTGTAGGATTACTAACGAGCGCAAGATGGCTGCACAGTGCTGCGGTCCCCAAGCGTTCCAGCCTCCAGCTCATTCACCAAAACGCCCCGCGGCTCTGGCAGCCTGCGCTCGCTTCCACTCCCTGAGCAGGGCTCAGAGCGATCCGGGAACATTTTTGGAGACGGAAAAGCTGTATCGCCCTCTCCTCTGGATCCCGCGGTTGAAATACAGGTGGGGTTTGCTCTACTTGACCCATGGTAAAACTCAGCCGCTGTTCTGGGGAGAGAGCACCTAGCACAGAGAACTCAGACCCGCCGAGCCCTCTCATGCCCCTCTGTCAGCGTGACGAGCGTAGTCGGCGTGCACGCCGTAAAAGTGGTGATACTTTGCCTTAAGTTACTCACCGATAGATTGAGGAGAATCCATGTATGGGAAATATTTGATGTAGTGGCCTCTGTCAGTAGCCAACAGCACATCGAAGACTCGCTGGGATTTAATTATCCCTTTTTCTGGGAGAAGAAGGAAAACAGAGACAGAAAGGACTCAAATCCTCAGTACTGCAGAAGAAGAGATTTGAAGGGGGGGAGCACAGTTCAGGGAGCTGGCGGAACTGGGAGAACTCAACCGTGGTAAGTGATCTGAGAAGGGACAGAAAACAGAACCGCAGAGGCAAGTACGTCCTTTTCAGTTCCTGCTACACCAAACGAAACCGCGTTACGGTCCCAGCCATCAGCCCAGTCTCTCCCTGGGGATGGTGACTTACACCCACAGTGTTTCTGGGGCTGTCAAATGTAATGAAAGATAAAGAGTCACGCTTTCGCTCCCGAAAGCGGAGGCTCCGGTTCGGGTTTCAGGCGCACCGGCGTGGCGAGTAAACTAAGGTTAGGAGCGACGACTGCGGAAACATTCAACATCCCTGCACACCTCCTCTCCGAGGGAACTCTTACAGGGGAAAAAAATCAGCTTTAGCAGCAGGGGAAATTCAAAGCTATTTTTAAGGGCGTCCCAGCCCGCTGTCCAGAGCGGAGCGGTAGCACCAGGCACTACTCCAGTGCCGGGACATCGCACCGGAGGGGAAGCGCAGGCTGCCGGGAAGCTCGGCATCTACGGGCTGAGAGCGATGCCAGGTTGTGCAGCATTTTAGAAGGCGTCAGGCACGTACTCCCCCAGAGGAGTGGAAGGAAGGCCGAGGATAGTCTGTCCCGCCACTTCTGGCATGTCCTGTTTCCAGTTATAAATAGAACAAATTCGGACTGGGAGAAATACTGCAATTCAGGCAGTGTTAACTCCAACGTTTCAGAACGAACAGCCTCACAATGTATCACCGTACAACGCTAAATGCCCTTACGCTGAAGTGCCAACAGATTCTATCGGCAGCTTTAGGACGCGCTCTGAGCAGGAGCCCGCGGCGGTACTCACTGTAGAGGTTGCTGACTAGCTCGGGGTGCGTCTTTCCGCTTGAAGTCCAGGCCATCGTTCTGGCAAAGAGCAGTCCCATGAGCGTAAGCACGGCGCAGGGCGGCAGGCAGCTCATCCCACGCAGACGGGCAGCGGCCTGCCGAGAGAAGGGACTTCAAAGCCGGCTGCTCGACAGGCACCCCGAAAGCTCGTCTTTCCTCGCCCTGACGCGACCTCGCGCTCGTTACACCGTTCCAAAGGGGACAGAGCTTGCACGTTACGTAGGACAGACTGGCAGCCCCAGAGAGCCGGCACCGCTACCCTGATGCGGCGGTAAGAACGAACTACCACGACAAATCGCACCGGCAGCGGCTGCTTCTCGCCGAGCCCCGGAAAACCCGGTTACGGGGCTGGGTGGTGGGCGCAGGGCAGGAAGGAGCCCTTCAGCGCCGGGGGCTGCCAGAGGGGGACGG